AGAAGCAGTGAAGTCTCCTGATTTGGCTTAGTGGTCTACAATTTCATGCAAGAGGAAATTTCCCAAAGTGCAAGTAGGGGGAAAATAACCCTGCAGCCATGGAATCCATATGCAGAGAGGGTAGGAACACTCTAGGTTGCAGGTAATCCTCAAAGTGTCAGCCTGCCTCAGTGCAAACATCCTAAAGTAGAAGCAGAGTATGTAGAGGGTCCAGAAGATGGAGCAGCAGACTATATTTACCTTTCATTCAGCAGGCACGTCATGTTTAGAGGGATACTGAGAAACAGGATGGATGGAGGAGACCATCAAGGAGATTGTTTCCATGTTAACAAGCCTACAGAAGCACACTGGCAGATCAGATAGAAGTTTTGAGGTAAATAAGGCACTGTGAGTGGCTGGGTCAGAACTCTACCACCTCACCACCAGGCTGCAGCTAAAATGTTCAGAAAAGCCTCTTCCTCCTATGGCGTACCCTCAACTGAGAGAACTTAACATTGTGCTCATTATAAAGGAGATACAGCACCTCCAAAATTCATTTCATTATCACAGAACAGGTATGGAAGGGTGAATTTGGAACTTAGATTCAATAAATGAGTAACACATACAGGTAGACTAGAAACTGTACTTTCCAGTCATTAGTTAAGTGTACATTCTTCTACCGTAGATTTCACCACTCGGATAGTTCTACATATTCTATTGGAGACATGAGTTGCACAGTGAGCCAGTCTTTGTAGGAATGCCAGTAGGCTCACTCGTAAAGAACTAGGAAAGAAGACTAATACAATATGTAACCTTTCTGAGTAACATTTCCTACATTAGGCCAATAGATATTTAAAATCTTACCACACAGTTCTGCCATGAAAATTAAGGAGAGAGAATGTTTAAAGCCTCAGCTCAGGCCTGAACCTTAAGAAATACATAATCAAATTAATTATAATCCATTCAGAGGACAAAAAGTCAATCACCACAACACACCCTTATTTACCTTCTGCTACTCTCCTTTAGAAATAGGGTCAAGTCAGGTGTGAGGGTTTTCTCAATATACAAACTTTCTGTCCTCTTTATTTAGTGTTATATAACAATTCCCATGTTATTTAGAAAGTGTTTAATTATTTGCATATCATACGTGTAATTTTTAAGATCTGGCCTTTGATTATATCCTTTGCCAATTAACTGTTATTGCTAATAAGACTCCATATGAAACTAATAGAATGCAGTAGTGCTGGGCTATCTAGAGAGCCCACATTATTTAAATGCTGGTCATTGTTAACAATGCTCCTGTCAAGCTGATTCACATTAGGGAATGGGAGTACCTGCATTAGTTTGTCCTTTTATTTCAGAACTTGTTACTTTCTTATTCTTTATCCAAACTGATTATAATGATATTTCAAATAATACAAACAGGATAATAGGTTCTTAGTCCTAAAATGGCTAGATGTTTGATCAAGAGGCTAGATGTAGGCCTAGTAACACTACATGTTTGAAACACACTGAAAATAGGCCTAAACCCAGCTAAAAAGACTAAAACTGAAAATTATTCATACTCATTTATAAGACGCTAAAGAATCAGACAAATAATTTCAATATTATCTGGCACAGCACTGTGCAGCAGAACTCTCTACAATGACAGAAACGTTCTCCGTCTGAGCTGTATAACATAATAGCTACTAGACATATGTTACTACTGAGAACTTGAAATGTGGCTGCCAAGACTAAGCAACTGAACTGTTAACTTTATTTAAATAGGTAGTGACTTCCATAATGAACAGCACCAATCTAGAGAGCATAGCTTAATAGAAGAATCTGGCAACTAAAGCTTAAAAACACAAAAACTAAATCTGGGGTGACTGTCACTAGCTACATATATTTGGTCATGTTATTTATCTATATATGTTTGCTCATGTGCCAGCTTCAATCACCTTGTTTGGGAAATATAGAAACAATAGAAACTTCTAGAGTTGCTGGATGAAGAAATAAATGTGGAACACCTAGCCAAGTACTTAGCACATAACAAGTACTTGCTAAATGATAGGTATTACTACCTAGCTCCTCACTTTCCAGACAAAGCAACTTCAATGCTGAAAGGAGGCACATGTGATCCACAGTTACAGAACTGTTTACAGACCTAGAAGCCAATTCCAGATTTTCTCATGTTTTTTGATAATTGTCTTTCTTTATGGAGACTAACCAACTGCTTTTGTCTTATTCAGTTTGGGCTACCATAACAGAATATCACAGACTAGGGATTAATCAATAGAAAATTACTTCTCACAGTTTTGAAGGCTGGCAGTCCAAGATCAACACACAAGATTAGCGTTTAGTGAAGGCATTCCTGTTTTCCAGGCGGACATGTGCTCATGATGTTCTTGCATGGCTTATGGATAAATTCACTGTCATGAGTCTTCTTATAACACTAAGGTGATTCATAAGGACTCCATTATCATGACCCAATCACCTCCCAGAGTTTTTAACCTCCTAATAAGCATCACATTGGGGGTTAAGTTTTGAAAATATGAATTTAGACAGACACAATCAATCAATCCATATATTCCACTTACTGTCAAAATTTATGCTCTTCTCACATGTAAAATACAATTATCCCATCCGAACAACCCCAAAAGTCTTAATTCATTTCAGCATCAATTCAAAAGTTGAGTCCAAAATGCCAACTAAATATTATACAAATTGTATGTAGTTGATGCTTGAGCCTGAGACACATTCATCTTGAAGCAAACTGCCTCTCTAACTGTGAAGCTGTGATACCTAGCAAGCACAATAACTTTCCCATCTTCACAGGTTGATCCTCCCCACCACTCATGATGCTTTTTTTTATGTAGGTGAAAAGGAACTTGTTATTCACACTGTTTCTCTTCAAGGCCCATCCTTTGAAGCACTGTGCGGGGCATCCTTACCCTATGACACTGGCCTACCCTCTGAAATTGCCCTCTCCCATGGTCTGTGATAAGAGGGGCATGCATGATGATATGAATCAAATTTGAAAAGCTTTCTTTTTCTTGAAGAATAGTATAGGATCAGAGACCTCATCCATCTATTTTTCTGTTTCCTTTAGTCTCAAATGGCAATGTTTCTGCTACTATAAATCAACCACTAAATAGGCTTCTATTAAGATGGCTGATGATAGCCAGGCATGGGGGCACATACCTGTAATCTCAGCACTTGGAAGGCTAAAGCAGGAGGATCCTTGTAAATTTAAGACCAGCCTGGGCTACAAAGTGAGGCCAAGGCTGGCCTGAACTGCCTAGCAAGACAGTCTTAAAAAGATTTTTAAAATGGCTGACGAGGGCCTTGATTTGTGCCCATACTAATCTTATCATATGGTCCATCAGCCACACCTGAATAAGCTCTTTTCAGAAACCTGCTTTTTCAGTCTTTAAAATATGAAGGCTGAGAACCTTACAACTATTTAAATTTTGGTTCATTTTTGCTTAAGAATTATTTCTTTCTCCTTGAATTATTTTATAAACAGAAAAGAGGTACCATACTCTTCCTTAAATATTTTTTTAGAAATGTTCTGTGCTAAGTAACAAATTTCACTGCATAAAAATTTCACCTTCCATAAGCTAGAAAACCAACATAATTCAGCCAAGGTCATTATCATTTTATAATATGAATTCTCTTTTCAATTGTCCTCATTTCCATTCAAGATCTCATCCAAATCATCTTTAATGCCTATACTTCTGCCACAATTCTGAACATGGTTATCTGTGTATTCTCTATGAAAATGCAAACTTTCTCTATAGCTCTGCTGTTCTCTTTCCGATCCCTCACCAGATTTACAAGTTTCTTCACAGCAATGTGAGCTTTTTCTAGAACCTCTTCCAACCTCTACCAGTTACCTAGCTTTATCAGTGATTTCATATTTTTAGATATAGTCATGTGCCACATTAATGATAATTTAGACAACTACAATAGAGCAGAAAAATTCCTCATAACACTGTAGCCACAGTAATGTGATAGCATGAGACATTACACATGTTTTGTGCTGATGCTAGTATAAGCAAACCTACTATCCCACCAGTTATACTGAAAAAGTATAGCATATACAATTAGGTACAGTATCTAGTACTAAACAATGTAAACTACAACAATAATTAATGGTTACAGTCCTGTTTTATCTTTATTTTAAAGAGAAAAAACAGAAAAAAAAACAAATATCTACTTACTTTTTACTATTATTTTACCGTGTACTCCTACTAATAAAAAAGTTTACTGTATGCTATGCTACACTGCTGGAAGCCTTTTAGGTCTCATGTTTATTGCATTTCTTTATTGAATCAAGGGTCATGTTGAGTGACGGGCCTACACCATCTAGACTAGTGTAAGTAGTCTCTGTAATGCTCACACAATGAAAAAATCACCTAAAGATAAATTAATCAAAATGTATCCATTTGTTAAGTGATACATGACCCTATGTATTACAGAAGATTCCTAATTCTTTGTACCAACTTCTGTAAGACATTGACTCATATGATAATGGAAGCTCAAGAGTCATGTGATCTGTGATCTAGAAGCTAGAGACCCAGAATGGATGCTGGTGATATAATTTGAAAGCCCAAGAGCCATTGTTATGTATTCCAATCCCTGTATAAAGGCCTAAAAACAAGGCATACTAAGGACAACAGAAGACTGATATCTCAGGTTATGTGTTTTGTTATATTCAGGCCCTCAATGGTTTGGATGATGCACACTCAACATTGGTTAGGGTAGGTCTTCGCTCAGTACAGCAATTCAAATGCTAACCTCTTCTGAACACAACCTCACAGACACAACCAGAAACATTTAACTAGCTATCTAAACATCTTGCGGCCCCATAAAATGAAAAATAAAATTAACCATTATATTAAACATTATACCCTTATAAGGTGAAGAGCAGTAGCCCAATAGTTACTAAAAAATTATATATACATATATATGTGTGTGTGCGCGTGCGTGTGTGTGTGTGTGTGTGTGTGTGTGTATACATATAAATGAAAATGTACCTTTGTGAAACCTATTTGCTCCTTCCGGAAATTTTCCAAGGGTTTAATCAGCAAATCACTAGCATTTTGGACCTGGAATAAAAGAAAAATATATACAAAACAACGTTTAGGTTGACAAGATTCAGTTACCAGTTCAGAAGTTTCCTTGTTACTAGAATATTTTCTTGGTGTAAAATATTACCTAGGGCTGGCACTATAGTTTAGCAGTACAGTATATGCTTAGCCTCAGGTTCAATTTCTAATACCAAAAACCAAAATGTTTTTTCGACTTATTGTTAGCCTGTTTTTGTTTTTACTTTTTTTCTACCTTGTCTCTAAAAATTAAATGCTTTGAGAGAAAATGAGAATACGAATTTTAGAGGCATTTCTCTGCAACTGTAACAGTCTGACCTGTATTTTTAATCAATAAATACGTAAAGCAATGTCCAGCAACAGACAAGGTAAACAAAGAGACTGGCAATATGTATAAGAAGGGCAACTCCAAAAAGTGCAAGCCATTTTACAGAGAGCAAGTGAGTTATCAGTAACAGCATTAGCATAAATCATTTCCAGTCCAAATCTAGTGGCATAAAACCAGAGCATCCCTTCAGATCACAAATCATAGTATTACAGCATCCAGACAACACTGGATTAGGACTTCATCTTATATCACTATACATGCTTAGAAGCTGATGGGAAATGCCTGTTCCAGTACTACAAACATACAGTGACAAGTTTTCAAAATATAAAAACATCCAATCCAAAGTGTCATATTTGTTCAGTGCACAGGTAAAGATACACACTACAGTAATGTCTTTATATAAATCTCATGGGGAAATTACATCTGTCCAAGGCAATATATGAGGTTTATTTGCTCAGTGTTCAGGATCAACCTCACTATCATAGAGCACTTCAGAGAAGGCATGTGCAGGGCTGGCTCATATGACCCACTTCATTAATTTCTATGTTACAAGAAAGGAGAAATAAGGGACGAGTTTCCCAAATATTGTTATATTGGACATAAAATTACAGTAAAAAAGTTGCATTTCTTTAATTTTAAAGACAATAAAACCACACAAAATAAAAGAGAATAGAGCCAATCAAAACAAAACAGTGAATATGATACAGGACTTCAAAACAAGATAATAGGATATCAACAATGGCTACCATAATATATCTTGTTATCTTTGAAACAGTTGCATTTTGATAACAAAAACAGAAGGCAGAATTTAGAGGTATAGCTCAGTTGTAGTGACTGCCTTGGATGGGCAAGGGTCTAGGTTGGAGCTCCAGCCTCTCTCTCTCTCTCTCTCTCTCTCTCTCTCTCTCTCTCTCTCTCTCCCTCTCTCTTTGTTTCTCTCTCTCTCTCCCTCTCTTTGTTTCTCTCTCTCTCTCTGTTGCTCTCTCTCTGTGTTGCTTTCTCTCTCTCTCTCTCTCTCCCTCTCTCTTTGTTTCTCTCTCTCTCTCCCTCTCTTTGTTTCTCTCTCTCTCTCTCTGTTGCTCTCTGTGTTGCTTTCTCTCTCTCTCTCTCTCTCTCTCTCTCTCTCTCTCTCTCTCTCTGACACACACACACACACACACACACACAAAGACAGAGTAGGAAGTCACTCTTGATTAGTTCCTATTTTTCCAGCATAATAAGCACCTTGCAACCTACCAAAAAAAGCATGAAAAGTTAAAATATTAGTACATATTTTATCCACTTGCTTTAGGCACATTGAGCCTTCCATTTCATGTCTAGGTATCATTCTAGTTTCAACTAAATAGGCAAACAACTAACAAGGCAACGCTAGTGTTTATATGATTACATCCTGATGAATCCTGACATTCTGCTAAAACTAACTCCCAGGAATGAAAACACCTCGAAAAAAATATAAAATTAGGCAAGAACAAATAATTTTTGCTTCAGTGAAAGAGTAATTCTCTATCTGTTTCCATAGATGCCTTCCTAAACCCTGTGTACTGTAAGTCTAAATTTTTATGATCATGTAACTTTTCCCTACCCTTCCTGACTTATAAAATAAATCTCTTGTCTACAAGGACAGTCAGTCCCCATCTTACTCTTATCACATTACTTCTCATTCATTGGATCTTTGACACCATTTACCAGATACCACTTGGTCCTAATCATACTATAACTTACCTACCAGTATGACACGTAACATCCCCTATATATTCATTAGCCAAAGGCAGAAAAGTCCTTGAGTCTATGACCCCCCTGGATAGATATTTCTATAGAGTTCTCTGATTCTTACTGCAATCCACATGGTCTCTCATCTAATCAAAACTATACTATCATTTCTGGTACCAAAAATAAAGACATCAGTGACTCATTTTGATTGGAAACAGAAATAGTTCCACTAAAAGCACTAGTCCAGACCTCTTCAACACATTTTACACTTCCTTGGACTGCAGATTACACACCATTAATTTTGTGCACCTACCTATAAACAAATTAAGAGATTGGTATCACAGACCCTACACAGGAATCATTTTTCTTCCTTACTATTGTGAAAGCTATAAAACATGACCATAAATACTTTGACACACACCTCATTGAGAAATGGCAGGTAAGTCCCCTCCATCCTGAAGATGAGTGACATTGTTACTGTTTTGAACAGAGCACTACAGAAGTGATACTATGTATCTTCTGAAGCTAGATCATAGAAGGCCAACAGTATCTACCTAGTTCTCTTGGAATACTCTCTGTGGGGGCCCTGAGAGATTATATTTGAAGTTGGACTACCCTGAGACCAAAAGCTAGAGAGGTCAAATATAGACATTCTGTCAATATCTTATAACCAGCCAAATGCAGCCTTCCAATAATCCCCATCACAGAGACAGACATGTAGGAAGTTTTTCTGGACTCGTCATATCAATTTATCTGTAAAATGAATACCAACATGTGGAACAAAAGAAACACCCAGCTGACCTTTGCCTGAACTCCTGACACACAAATGTATGAAATATAACTAGTGTCAATGTTCTCTGCTAAGTTTATAGAGCAACGGATAATTTGAAAAACCTTTTCCAATTTCAGAAAGGTAATACATAGAAAAGTGGTCATCTATGAAACACTAAGGAAGTATACTTTTCAACAGGAAGTAAACATGGCACTTATAAAGAGAGTACACATACCAAGTCTCTGTATGCTTGCTCAGCTGGGCCCTTGTATATTCACACACCACCAGGATGGCACATTTGTTGAATTTACCTTTAAAAATAGGACTGTCCTGGACAAGCATGTGTGGAAGCAACTTTATCAAAGTCAGTAAGTCTTTGCTGTATTTGGCCCACGCTCAGTCTAGGAAACTAATACATGACTCACTGAAATGGTAGTTCATAGTTTTTCATTTGCAAAATCAATGAAACACAGGTCATATCCACTTTCTAGGGCCGGGAACTTCCTTACTGTGGTTATTCCAAATCTAATTTTGAACTCTGCTTTAAGAAAGGATGCAAAGCTGCCAAATACTTCCCAGGTTACCCAGATTGAGATAGAGGAGCCCTTTTGCCACAGACCCAAAAAATGAATCAGGTATAAGCAAGCAATGATTTCCTGGCAAGGTGTAAAAGGCTCCCATTAACCTTTACAGCATTCCTGGAATTACAGGCAAGTGGAAAATATGCAATACACGACTGAAAAGTTGTAGAGAAGAAAAGTGTACAACATAATTATAAAGATAGAACAAATGATTCAGTCATGTGACAAAGAGCCACCTAAAAGGTTACAGCTTTGTTACTAGGTAAAACTGATCAAGAAATAACTAGAACTAAAAAGAAGTACACCTAAACTTTCTAATGGAATGTGAATAACATGGGACATATCGTTCTGAAACCAAAAAGGGCAGCAATGCACAAACTCTTTTTGAGCACAGGATACTATTAGTAGGGTATGGGTAAGCTAGTAGACTGTATACTAGGATTAGGAGAAATCACCTATGTAGGTCTCTTCTTCTCACATTTAAGAGTAAATGTCTTAACCTAAAAAAATTCTCAAATCACATCTCCCCAGACAGAATCTATGAGTAACCAAAGATAACTAAATAAACGTAAATAATCAGTCTTTATCCACTTTATGAAACAAGTCTGTATTTAATATAATTGTAGTCCTTTATGATAAGCATAAGAGGTAGGGATGTATTTCTTCACATTGCAAATAAGAAAAGGGAGGCCCAGAAAAATAAACTAATTAGGTTGAAGTCAACAAATGACATAATGGCAGAGCCAAAATTACAGCCTAAGCCTCTAATTCCCCTTCATTATTGTTTTGCCTCCAACCATATACATCTAGGAGCCTAGATTAAGTAGAAATAGTATTTTGAAAAGCCAGCACCACCTTCATGAAAATGAAGGAGGATTGTGGATTTAATATAAGTTCTAACTGATATAAAAGAATTTTATAAACCTTGCATGTGAATAAAAAGTAAGTCTACAAAAGAAAGGGAAAGTAGACTACTTTGCTATCATCTTATCTTATGGTTTTTGGCACTAATGAAATGAATGTTGATTAATGTAAGTATTTACAGACTAAAGGCCCAACAGGAGGGGGCTAAAGACCTGAATTTCAAAGCAATATCCCAGATGATGCTGGTACTGCTGGTCTAGGGGTCACAATAGTAAGATTATTTTGAAACTATTAAAATAGACTATTCAAAAATATACAATCCTTATACACTAATCTAGCAATATGTATAAAAGATATACATGAAGAAAATACAAAATTATTATAAAAATCAAATAATATAAATAATAAATGGAGAGATAATCCATTTATTATTATAAATTATATTATATATAAGTCCCTAGATATAGCTTCAATAGTTTTAAGATTTCAATTCTTTGGGATTCTGGAGTTCTGGGCCTCCCAGTGCCATTGGTTACAGAGGCTGGGCAGCCGAGGGTGAGTGTCCCTGCACCATCCCCTGAGCCCAGCTAGTTTGAGATCTTGCTAGGCCCCAGACAGGGAACTTTGCGGGTTCCTGTTGCACTGGACAAGCTCAGCAGGGCTTCAAGTGGCCTACCCCACCCACAGTGACCGTCTCTCAATCCAGGGAACTAGACAGCCAGAGTCCCATGAGCTGAGGGCATAG